AAAGCTGAAAGTGGCGCTGTGGCTCAAGTGGTAGAGCGCTAGCCTTGAGCTGAAGAGCTGAGGAACAGCGCCCAGGCCCAGAGTTCAGGCCCCACAACCGGACCCAAAAAAAAGAGTCTCATGGGCTTTCCTGACCAGGCTGGCTTTGAACCATGATCCTCAGATCTCAGCCTCCTGAGTAGCTAGGATTACAGGCGTGAGCCACCAGCGCCCGGCTTCCCTGAGGTTTTTACCCCCTCAATACTAGCGCTTTTATCACTTGAGCTGTGGTGCCATTTCTGGTTGTTTTGTTATGTTGTGTTGTGTTGTGTTTTGTTTGTTTGTGCTGGTCGTGGGGCTTGAACTCAGGGTCTAGATGCTGCCTCTTAGCTTCTTCACTCAAGGCTGGTGTTCTACCACTTGAGCCACAGGTCTACTTTTTGCTTTGTGGGGGGGATGCATGGGCATGCGCCAGTCCTGGGGCTTGAACTCAGGATCTGGGTGCTGCCCCTAATATCTTTCTTCCTCAAGGCTAGTGCTCTAACACTTGAGCCACAGCTCCACTTCTGGCATTTTGATGGAAAACTGAAGATAAGAGTCTCATAGACTTGGGGCTGGGAAGGTGGCTCAGTGGTAGAGCGCTTGCCTTGCATGCCTGAGGACCTGGGTTCGATTCCTCAGCACCACATAAGCAAAAAGAAAAAAGCCGGAAGTGGCGCTGTGGCTCAAGTGGTAGAGCGCTAGCCTTGAGCTGAAGAGCTGAGAGATAGCGCCCAGGCCCAGAGTTCAGGCCCCACGACTGGACCCCCCCAAAAAAAAGAGTCTCACAGACTTGGGCTGGGAAGGTGGCTCAGTGGTAGAGTGCTTGCCTGCATGAGGCCCTAGGTTTGATTCCTCAGCACCACATAAGCAGAAAAAGCTGGAAGTGGCGCTGTAGCTCAAGTGGTAGAGCGCTAGCTTTGAGCTGAAATGCCGAGGCCCAGAGTTCACGCCCCATGACTGACCAAAACAAAACAAAACAAAAAAAAGTCTCACAGACTTTTCTGCCTGGGCTGGCTTCAAACCACAACTCTCAGATCTCAGCCTCCTAAGTAGCTAGGATTACAGGTGTGAGCCACCTGTGCCGGGCTCAGTTTCCTAATTCTTTAAAGTTCTTTCCTTTTGCTTCCCTTTTTTCCTTTGCTTCTTTCTTCTCCTTTCTTCTCTTTTCACATGTGTGGTGGGGGGGAGGGTGGACACTGGGATTTGAACTCAGGGTTTTATGCTTGCCAGAGCACTGTACCACTTGAAATACATACATACAAACCCAGTCCTTTTTGTTTTTCTTAGTTTTTCAATACTGTCTTGCTTTTGCCCAGGCTGGACTGGACTGTGAATCTCCTGCTTGCACTTTCTAGGTAGCTAGGATGACAGGTACTCACCACCACACCTACCTTTTTATTGGTTGACATGGGGGTGGAGTGTTTCTGGTGGGCTTTTTGCTTGGTCTGGCCTTGAGTAGCAATCCTCTAGATTCTACCTCCTAGATAGTTGGGATTACAGGCATGAGTCCCTAGCACCTAACCCTAAGCATTCTTTTCTGTTCTGGCTGTGTTTCTGTTCATTCTTCTAGTTCTTCATGATTCCTGGAAAAATGTCTAGAAACAAATTAGTTGGAAAAGCAATTCAAGCCAGGAATCCATTGATGAATAACTCAGGACTACTCTTTTTTTTTTAGTTTGTCTTTTCTTTTTTGGTACTGAGGATCAACCCAGGGCATTGCACTTGCTAAGCAAGTGCATTACCACTGAGCTACATCCCAGCCCTTAGGAATACCATTGACTGGCATTAGGACATCTGTGTTCATTGTTGGGGCACTTGGAGTCTGATGTATGCACTATTTGGCCTCTCTGTGTGTGTGTGTGTGTGGCAGAGACAGACAGACAGACAGAGACAGATACAGAGGGGGGGGGGGAAGAGAGGAGAAAGGGAACGAGAGAGGGATGCTGGGGCTCAAACCCAGGGCCTGTTGCATGCTGGGTAAGCAGTGTGTCACTCAGCTGCATCCCAGCTCCAGTTGCACATTTTCTTTTTTTTTTTCTTTCCTTTTTGTCAGTCTTGGGGCTTGAACTCAGGACCTGAGCACTGTCCCTGACCATTTATGCTCATGGCTAGTGCTGTAACATTTTGAGCCATAGCCCCACTTCCTGTTTTCAGATGACTTATTGGAGATAAGATTCTCATGGCAGGAAGTGGTACTGCGGTTCAGACGGCAGAGCACTTACCTTGAGCTGAAGAGCTCAGGGACAGCATCCTGGCCCAGAGTTCAAGTCCCACGACCAAAAAAAAAAAAATTCTCATGGCAGCTGGACACTGGTGGCTCCTGCCTGTAATCCTAGCTACTCAGGAGGCTGAGATCTGAGGATCATGGTTGAAAGCCAACCTGGGCAGGAAAGTCCATGAGACTCTTATCTCCAATTAACCAAAAGAAAACTGGAAGTGGCACTGTGGCTGAAGTGGTAGAGTCCTTGACTTGAGCTGAAGAGCACAGGGACAATACCCAGGCCCAGAGTTCAAGCCCCACCACGACCAACAACAACAGAAAGAAAGAAAGAGAAAGAAAGAAAGAGAAAGGAAGGAAGGAAGGAAGGAAGGAAGAAAGAAAGAAAGAAAGAAAGAAAGAAAGAAAGAAAGAAAGAAAGAAAGAAAGAAAGAAAGAAAGAAAGGAAGAAAGGAAGAAAGAAAGAAAGAGTCACATGGACTTTCCTTCCCAGGATGGCTTGGAACTGTGCCAGATCTCAGCCTCCTAAGTAGCTGAGATTACAGGTGTGAGCCACTGGCGCCCACCTCTGTATGCATTTTCTTTAGGGTGCCTGCTTGAAATTTATTTCCAGCCAATGATTTACATGTTCACCAACCAAAGTTTTGTTGAGGCCCTTGAGGCCCTACTGGACACTTTTTTTGATCAGGTACAACGTGGGACTATGTTCTAGCCTGGGGAAGACAGGTGGCAGTCAGCTGAGAAACTGGTCCAGTTATTCCATGTCTGAGGGTAGAAAATGCTATGGAAAAAGAAGAAAATATTAGAATAGGAGAATCAGAGTTACATCACACAGAAGCCAGGTGCTGCTGGCTCACACCTGTAATCCTAGCTACTCAGGAAGCTGAGATCTGAGGATCACAGTTCAAAGCCACGCCCGGGTAGGAAAGTCTGTGAGACTCTTATCTCCAATTAACCAGCAAAAATCCAGAAGTGGTGCTATGGCTCAGGTGGTAGAGCACCAGCCTTGAGTGAAAAGTCTCAAGACATGGGCTAGGAATGTGGTTTAGTAGTAGAGGGCTTGCCTAACATGCATGAAGCCCTAGGTTCAATGCTTCAGTACCACATAAACAGAAGAAGCTGGAAGTGGCACTGTGGCTCAAGTGGTAGAGTGCTAACCTTGAGCAAAAAGAAACTCAGACAGTGCCCAGGACCTGAGTTCAAGCCCCCAATACCATATCACATGCACATGCACACACACACACACACACACACACACACACACACACACACACACACGAACAAAGGATAATTAAAAACAAATAGATCTCTATACAGCACATGACTATAATGATGTGCATATGTAGGAAGATGAGGGGGAAGGAGAGAAGGAAAAAGAGGGAGGGTGAATAACTCAAATACCTGTGACTGCATGTGCCTAAGGAACCTCAGTAAAAGCTGCTGATCAGTAGGGGATGCTGGAGGTGGGGAGGAGAAAAAACTAAGCAAAGACAGAGGGCCCTGAGTTCAAGCCCTACACAAAAGACTTCACAGCCCAGAGGGCTGGGGGCATGGCTCAAGTGCTAGAGTACTTGCCTGGCATGAACAAGGCTTCAGTACTGAGAGTTCTCTACCCTGTGGGATTGTACTCAGCTCTTTAAAGCTCCAGCATACATGGTTCATGGTGACATCTCCCTTGCCAGAATACCCCTGTTCCTGTCCTGAGTGGCAAGTTGCAGCCCCCTGGGGCCGCTAGGCATGCTCGGCCTGGGGCTTGTGTGCTAGGGAGACAGCTGTGCCTGAGCGAAAGGCTTGTGGTGGGACCTGGCGCAGGGCCGGCAGCCTCCCTGCTGGGGGTTGGCCAGTGGGACCCGTCTGGTTTGAGTTCCAGGCGCCTCTCACTCCATGTCTCAACCCACAGCCCAAGTCCAAGCTGCCAGGCCTGCGCCTTATTTGGGTCTTGTCTCCCCCTCCCTGCACCCCCCAAGACAACATTTGTGGCCTTAAAAGGCAGGCCTGGGGAAGGGGGGAAGAGGGGAGCAGTTGCCACTGCTGGCTTGAGAACCCCTCCAGCTGGAGTCCCCACTCCTGGCTTGGCTGCTCTGGTCCTTTCTCCAGCTGTATGGAAAACCAGGCTTTCTAAGCCAGACCAGCCAGGGCACAGCGCCCCTTGCCAGGGCACGCAGGGGTGGGCTCCTGGAACAGAGGCCGGCCTCCTGCCTTTCATTTAAAACCAGTTGGTTCTACTCTAGTCTCCTCTTGCCAAGTCGGGCAGGGAGAGTTTACGTGGTAGGGTCATGGGCTCCTTTATTGAGCACCTACTATGAAGCCAGCCCTGTGTGCACATAGTAACTCCTTTGCACACATCGCCGTTTTCAGGCCTTCAGCCTGGGAGGGACAGAGGCCTTATTTAGGGAAACAGGCAGTTCCAGTGAGGATGGCACCCTGGTCATCAACCAATAGGGCCAGAGCCTGTCTGGTGACACTCCGCTGTTAACTTGCCTCTCTGGCTGGAATTAGTGGGCAAGCCCCAGCCTCATCCACACCCCCACCCCCTTGCCAGCTCCTATAGCCAACCAGCCAGGTGTTCTGTCTTATTTCAGCTCAGCCCTGGTCCCGTGTGACCCAGATTTTGCCCTACATCCTATGCCGTTCCCCTTCACCAAGAAGAGAAGAGTGTTTATTTCTGAGGCCACATGGCAGGCAGGGCTGTCTGACCAGGCAGAGAGGACCCCAGTCAGCAGAGACCTTACCCTCCCCTCCCCTCGTCTCCCTGTTGCAGGTTCCTCGGGCTTTGTGGAGCCCGTGTGGCCGGGCAGCACCATGCGGCGGATGGCCCTTCGGCCTATGTCCTTCTCAGGTGGGTTCTGGGGGAGCTTCTTGGGGGATCCTGGGCCAAGGAAGACCTGGAAGAGAACCAAATTTTAGGGTGTCTATTATTCTAAAGCCATCAGGTCCTGCCAGGATCTTAGTAGGATCCCACCGTTACACAGAACCTTAGGCTGGAAAGAGTTCCAAAGGGGAGAGGAAGGTCTCCAGAGAGGCCTCTGACCTGGACAAGGTGCCCTGAAGGCCAGGACTCCTGGATTCCTGCAGATATTAAGTCTAAACCCCATCCCCCACGCCTGTTTTCCCTTATAAGTGATGCGTTTTCTAGTCTTCTGCAGTGTGTGAGGGCGGAGCCAGGCATCATCAGCTCATTCAAACCTTGCAGCCACACCCCACACCTCCCTGAGAGACCTCTTTGACCCATGTCCTGTCCTGCCTGGAGGGGGCAGCACTAGCCCAGGAAGACCAGCTTGTAAAGGCTCACAAATGGCCTAAGCTACTGGGAATGACTTTGGTGGTAGCCAGAGAAACTTGACAGTGAGCTGGCAAGAGGGTGGCACCTCCCAGGCCAGCCCCCCGTCCAGTCTGTGGTGTGTTGGTCTCTAAAACCTCCAAGCCCACACCTCAGCCCCACATCATCCTGCTGAAACAATGGGATTTCTAGCAATGGCTTCTGGGAAAGGAAGTCCTTTTGGACACCCCGCTGCCAGAATTCGGGCCCGTGTGGTGCTCTGTCCTTCAGTGGTTCTATAGCCTGTCCCTCATGCTGAGCTTCCTTTTGGGCTGGGGTCACCAGGGGTCTGCCTCCTCCCTGCACCCCTGTCCTGGGGGCTGCGGACTCAGAGGGGGGGATCCCGGGGCCCCTGGCCCACAGCCAACAGCCTCCTCCTCTCTGCAGGTTGCCTCAACTGTAGCAAAGTATCCGAGCTGACAGAGCGGCTGAAGGCCCTGGAGGCCAAGGTGGGTAGGCAGCTCCCCCTGCCCTCCCCCTTCCCACACCCCTGTACTTGTCTCTCTTCCCTAGACCACAGTGCAGATGTGAGTTTGTATCCTGGAGTGGGGATCATCACAACTAGGGCAGTAGAAGGGATGGAGCTGTGAGTCCCGGGCAGGCAGGCTCCTGACTCTGCTTGGTCCCCATCCAGCCATTCATACTGTCCTCCAGTGCCCTCCCAGGAAGTGGGCTTTTCCTCCAGGAAGTCTTGAAGCTCCCTCCTGTGGCTCTTCCCAACCAGATAAGCACAATCTCCCTAGCTCACTGTAGACCCTTCCTTGCTCGGTCACCTCCTTCCTTAATCCCAACCCCCATAATACCATTGTCCAGTTTAGGAAGCAAAAGTCTATTGTACATCTCATATATATATATTTTTTCTTTTGTTAGTATTGGGAGTTGAATTCATGATCTTGCACTTGTTAGGCAGGGGTTCTACCACCTGAATCACGCTGTCAATCCTCTTCACTTTTACTTTGTTTAAGGGGGAATAGAGTTTTGTGTCTTTGTCCCAGCTAACCTTGGACTGATATCCTTCTATCTCTACCTCTTGAGTAGCTGGAATTATAGATGCAAGCCACTCCACCTAGCCTTTTAAAAGAATTAAGTGGTGGCTCATGCTTGTGAGCTACTCAAGATGCCAAGATCTGAGGATTGAGGTTCAAAGCCAGCCCAGGCAGAAAAGTCTGGGAGACTCTTATCTCCAATTAACCACCAAAAGACAGAAGTGGAGCTGTGTTTCAAGTACTAGAGCACTAGCCTTGATCAAAAAAAGCCCACAAACAGCACCCAGGCTCTGAGTTCAATCCCTAGGACCAACCCCCACACATACACACATCCCAAAATAAGAGAATCTTTTGGTGGTGGTGGTGGTGGTGGTGGTGGTGGTGGTGGTGGTGGTCTGGGATTTTAACTCTGGGCCTGCGTGCTGTCCCTGAGCTCTTCAACTCAAGGCCAGAATTCATTGTACCACTTAAGCCACTGTGTTACTTCCAGTTTTCTGGAGGTTAATTGAAGATAAGACTCTCTCTGACTTTCCTTGCCTAGGCAGGCTTTGAATCGTGATCCTCAGATCTCAGCATCCTGAGTAGCTAGGATTACAGGCGTGAGCCACCTGTGTTCGGAGATAAGATTCTTATCTCCAATTAACCACCAGAAAACAAAGTGGCTGTGGCTCAAAGTGGTAGCATGCTAGCCTTGAGCAAAAGAGCTCAGGGACATGGCCCAGGCCCCGAGTTTAAGTCCCATGACCACCACCACCACCACCAACAACAACAACAAAGATTCTAAATGTAGAAACAAGAAAACTAAGAATGTGGGGAATTTGCCAGAAAACTAACTGCAGCAGCCAGTTGTGAATGGGCCACTGCCCTGCTTTCCTTTTTGAGATGAAATCTTGCTCTGTTACCCAGGCTAGTAACTCCTGGACTTAAGAAATCCTCCTTGGAAGTGGTGCTATGGCTTAAGCAATAGAGTGCTTGCCTTGAGCTGAAGAGCTAAGGGACAGCATCCAAGCCCAGAGTTTAAGCCCCCCCCACCTCCAAAAAAAAATTGTGGAGGCCAGGGGGCTGGGAAGGTGGCTCAGTGGTAGAGCGCTTGCCTTGCATGCCTGAGGCCCTGGGTTCGATTCCTCAGCACCACATAAGCAAAAAGAAAAAAGCCGGAAGTGGCGCTGTGGCTCAAGTGGTAGAGCGCTAGCCTTGAGCTGGAGCTGAGGGACAGCGCCCAGGCCCAGAGTTCAGGCCCTACGACCGGACCTCCTCCCAAAAAAAAAAAAAGAAATCCTCCTGCCTCTGCCTCCCAAGTAGCAGGGCTGGCAGGTGTACACTCTCACCTTTGGTTTGGTGGTACCGGGGTTTGAACTCAGAGCCTTGTGCTTGCTCAGCTGGTACTGTAGTGCTTGAGCCACATCCCCGGCCTGGCTTTTTGCTGGTTAATTGGAGATGGAATCTCACAGCCTTTCCTGCCTGCATTGCCTTTGAACTTCAGTCCTCTTCTTTTTCCTCCACAGGTGGCTGTGCTGTCAGTCACAGAGCAGGCGGTGTCCCCAAGCCCAGTTACCCCTGAGAACCCTGCTCCACTCTGGGGTTCCCCAGCTGCTCAGGGAAGCCCGGGAGATGAAGGCCTCCGGGGTGAGTGGCTGATCTGGGGGATGCATCCCCAAGTGGGAAGACACTGGCGCATGTCTATCCCCCTGGGGAGCCGGGGATCTGCAGGGAACCCTAGAGTCCTGGGAGGCCAGCAGCAGCAGCCCCTACCCAGAGGACAACTGAGGGAGGGGAATCGGGGTGGCTCCCTCTCTCCCAGACCCAGCAAGGATCCTGACTCCTGCCTAATCCCCACCCCCAGGCCTGCTAGGAGCCAGAGAGAGTTTGAGGGCCCCACTGCTCCCTCGAGATGGTAGGTACTGGCTGAGGGGCTAGGGGCAGGGGGTCAAAGGTAAGTCCAAAGCCGTCAAGCTCATGTTCTGTACATCCCCTGCAGATCAAGCTGGAACTCAGGGGCTGCCTGGGCCCATTGGCCCCAAGGGAGACACTGGCAGCCAGGGCCCAATGGGAATGAGGGGCCCACCAGGTGAGTGCCCGCAATGCCATCTCCCAAACACTTGAGCCCTCTCCTCTCTGTTCAGCATCCTTCTAGGGGGTGCCCTTCAGACCTGTCCCCTCCTTGGGAACCTACATGCACTAAGCTTAGGGTGGGGTCAACCCAGATCCTGCTTTCCCGGAGCACCTAGACCACTTGGAGAAACACCAGGGCCCCCCACCCTGTGACCATGCTTCCAAGAAGAAACATTGAAACCTCAGAGGTTGAGAGAAGAAAGCATGGGCTAGGACGGATAGGATGAAGGACAGGAGGATGTGTGGGCCATGTCCACCCCTTCCTAGTCCAAAGATGCGGAACCTTCGCCTATACCGGCTGCCCCCCGGCTGCCTTGTCCTGACCCCTCGAGGCCTCCCAGCTTCTCCCTTCCCTATGTCCCCCCGCCCCTGTGATCTCCACTGCAGGTCCACAGGGCCCCCCTGGAAGCCCTGGCCAGGTGGGAGCTACTGGCACCCCTGGAGAGATGGGACCTCCAGGCCCCCCAGGGCCTCCTGGTCCCCCAGGACCCCCAGCACCTATTGGACCACCCCTCAGCCGGATCTCCCAGCATGGTGAGTTCCCCTGGGGTCCCAGCAGGGTGAAACAGGGGTGGATAAGGTTGGTGTAAATATCACCGTGGCATCAGGTACCATCTATCGGGGCCTGCTGTGTGCCAGGCTTGCCCGTGGTAGGCCTCATGGCACCCAGCTGTCTGGCAGGTGCTGTCATTCTCTGTTCACAGAGGAGGGCGGCTGCAGCCAGGGAGGGGAGGTCGCATGCTCTGATCACACAGACGGGGACGAGGTAAGGGGGACTACTTCAGAGCCAGATGCTCAGAACCTGCTGGCATCGGGCCCTCCCCAGGCCTTGGAACCCTCAGAGTGCCAGGAAGCTCAAGGCCTGATGGCAGGAAGCCAGCGCAGAGCATCCAAGGCCACAGCCCTGGCCCCCGTACTTGGAGAGGCTCCAGCCCCACTCGCTGACCCCGACGTGCATCCCCAACCCCTCTCTCTGGCAGTCCCAGTGGCACCTTCATGGGCTGCCCAGAGTCAGAGTGTGGAAGGCCAGGTCCCTCCCTTCTGTGCTGTGACTGTGGTGCATGCTGGGACACGATGTGTTCATTCATTCTCCGTTCCCCCAATCACTGAATCCCACGGATCCCTCTTCCTGCCCAAGTCCTGGTGACAGTACAGGCAATCAAGGAAGTCATCCGTCTAGATGTCACCAACTAGACTACAATGGGATTGGAAACCAAAGCTTTCTTGCTGTCTGGTCCCGCATGCTCCACACTCTCCGAGCAACAGGCTGTCCTGTAGGGCAGTCAGAGCTGACATAGCACAGGAGACAAGTAACTCCACTCACCACCTTTCCTCACCCAGGGGACCCATTACTGTCCAACACCTTCATAGAAACCAGCAGCCACTGGCCCCAGGGATCAACTGGGCCCCCAGGTCCCCCGGGGCCCCCAGGACCTATGGGTAAGTTGAGTCTAGGCCCGAGGGTAAGAGATGGAGTTGGTTGTTGAGGGGAAAGTGCTGAAGGTGTCCTGTCTTATTCCAGGCCCCCCTGGACCTCCCGGCCCCACAGGGGTCCCTGGGAGTCCTGGACATGTGGTAAGTGATTCTCCCAAGTGTTCTCACCCCTGTGCGAATCCGTTCAGCCATCTGTCCATCCATCCCTGAATTCACTCATTCACCGAGTTCTCACTGAGCATTTGAAATGCAAAGTGCGCTCCATAAATCTTCTCATTCAGTTCTTGTAAAGAGAAGCAAGCATTGTTACTGCCCAGGGCCAAGAAAAGTGGAGGTTGTCAGGACTATGGCCAGCACATGGCTTGGAGTGTGGACTCTGTGACTCTGGGGCCCCTGTCACTTCACGCTGAGCTGTGCGAGCTGCCCACTGTGTGCTAAGAATCTGCATGTGGCGAGGCCCACACCAGGCTGGGGCTCCCTCTCTGATACCACTGCCCCAACCCCCCTGCCTACTCCACCACAAGACTGAGGCCCTGTCTTGTTCCTCAGGGACCTCCAGGCCCTACCGGACCCAAAGGTGTCCCTGGGCACCCTGGAGAGAAGGGCGAGAAAGTAAGTACCCACGTGGCCTCAAGTGGGAGATTCTGGGGGGTCCTGGGGCCCCAGGTCAGAAGTCGTGACAGCTAATGGCATTCTTCTACCCTGTACTATACAGGGACTGCGTGGGGAACCTGGGCCCCAAGGCTTTATGGGGCAGCAGGTAAGTAATGCTGTCCATCCTGTACCTACCCCTGCAAGGGGCTCCCCACCCCCACCCAGGAACCAGAGTCCCTGACCCTCTTGTCTGATCCAAGACAACTCTGTGTCTTTTTAGGAACAGATTCCTCCCTCTTTCTGTCTGGCTGCCCATGGCTCTATTCCATTTCTTTTTCTCAGACTTTCCCTCAAGCCTTTGTCTCCTTGAAACCCTTTCCCTCTGAATGTATATTTGTCCATTTCTCCCTTTAATTCAGCCCATTTTTGCTTTATGTATTTTGAATCTTTGTTATTAGATATATTCACGTTTAAGGTTTTAGTATCACCTTAGTCTTTTTTAACATTTTAATTTTTTTATGATTTTTTTTTTTTTTTGGATCCGGTCGTGGGCCTGAACTCTGGGCCTGGCGCTGTCCCTCAGCTCTTCAGCTCAAGGCTAGCGCTCTACTACTTGAGCCACAGCGCCACTTCTGGCTTTTTTTTTTCTTTCTGCTTATGTGGTGCTGAGGAATCGAACCCAGGGCCTCATGCATGAAAAGCAAGCACTGTACCACTGAGCTACCTTTCCAGTCCTTTTTATGATTTCTTTTTGGCAGTACTAGTGTTTGAATTTGGAGCCTTGCTAGGCAGGAACTGTACCATTTGAACCACTTCTCAGAAGTGGCGCTTGTGGCGCAAGTGGTAGAGCGCTAGCCTTGAGCTGAAGAGCGCAGGGACAGCTCCCAAGCCTAGAGTTCAAGCCCCATGACTGACCAAAGAAAAAAAAAAAAGAACCACTTCTCCACTCCTGATGTTACTTTTATCTCTAACTAATGTTTCCTTCTTAAATTATACTTTATTTGCTATGAAAGTAGTCACAGCACTATTCTAATGCTTGGTGTTTACACATACTATATCCTTTTGTTTTTAATTATCTTTTTTCCTTCAGCCTGGCTTTGCTTTATATTTTTTGTGCATTCTTGTAAACAACATATAATTTGAGTCTTGCTTTTTTCCACTAGTGTGACCATTTGCACATAAGGATGTGCACAATTATTAATATGGTTCTGTGTGTGTGTGTGTGTGTGTGTGTGTGTGTGTGTGTGTGTGTGTGTGTGTGTGTGTGTGTGCTGGTCCTGAGGCTTGAACTCATGGTCTGGGTGCATTTTTTCCTCAAGGCTGACACTGCCAACTTAACCCACAGCTCTAATTCTGGCTTTTTTGGTAGTTAATTGGAAGTAAGGAGTCTCATGGCTGGCTTGGCTCCATGATCCTCAGATCTCAGCCACCTGAGTAGCTAGGATTATAGATGTGAACCACTGGCCCCCAGCTCATCTTGTTCTTTTGGAATCTTGGTTTTAGGTTTTATCAGAGAAAGTCCATTGTTTTGGGTGAAAACTCTCTAGCCCTGGGCTATAGTTTTCATTCCTAAGGCAAAGCATTTCAGACTTTTCAGTAGAGACCTGTAAGAGTTCGAAACTGCCTCCTGTCCGGTGGGGATGGCCATCCGGAATTAGAATCCACCCCTTTTTGGGTGTGCTGCTTTCCAGGATTGTCCCTCAGTTTCCCCCTTCTGGAAGGTCTCATCTCCAACCTCTGACTCCTCTGACTAGTAACTGAAACTTTCTGCTTTGATGTGGGATTTTGCCAGGCAGCACCTTCTCAATGAAAACTACACACACTCCTGGGTAGAATATTCTCCAGTTCTGCCTGCTCTTCCCCTCCTTCTTTCTTTCCTTCCTTCTTTCTTTCCTTCCCCACCCCCCACTTCTTTCTTTCTTTTTTTTTTTTTGGTTGGTCATGGAACCTGAACTCTGGGCTTGGGCGCTATCCCAAGCTATCCCCTTGAGCTCTTCAGCTCGAGGCTAGCGCTCTACCACTTGAGCCACAGCACCACTTCCGGCTTTTTCTGCTTATGTGGTGCTGAGGAATCTAACCCAGGGCCTCATGCATGCAAGGCAAGTGCTCTACCACTGAGCCACCTTCCCAGCCCCCCTACCCCACCCCCCCACACTTTATTTTGCTTTCAACCATTTCTTGTTTTGTTTTGCTTTGCTTTTGTTGTTGTTGTTGTTGTTGTGAGGTTTGAACTCTGGGCCTGGTTGCTGTCCCTGAGCTCTTCAGCTTGAGCCACAGAGTCTCATGGACTTTCCTCCCTGGGCGGGGCTGGTTTTGATCCACGATCCTCAAATCTCAGCCTCCTTAGTAGCTAGGATTACAGGCATGAGCCTCTGGCACTGCCCAGCTGTTTTGCTATGCTTTTTATGCAATGTTAGTACTATACAAGCTTTCTCTCTCGCTCTCTCTCGCTCTCTCTCTCTCTCTCTCTCTCTCTCTCTCTCTCTCTCTCTCCCTCCCCTCTCTCTCCCTCTCTCCCTCTCCCTCTCTCCCTCTCCCTCTCTCTCTCTACCTCGTTGCAGAGCTGGGAATGAAACCCAGGATCTCATGCATGATAGGCAAGTGCTCTGACATTGAGCTATGGTCCCATAGCTCTCTAAGACTACTGTTGCTCTAAGACTTTCTTCTCTTTCTTCCCTCCTTATTCCCCATCCTTCTTCTTCCCTCCCTTCTTCCTCTATTAAAAAAAAAATTGTTATTGTAAAGGTGATGTACAAAGGAGTTACAGTTACATGTCAAGGAAAGAGTACATTTCTTTTTGAACAGTGTCACCTCTTTCCTTCTTTTTTTCTTTTCTTTTCTTTTTTTGTTTAAATCCATTGTGAGGCTTGACCTCAGGACCGCTGTCCCTGAGCTCTTTTGCTCAAGGCTAGCACTTTATCACTTTGAGCCACAGCACCACTTCCAGTTTTCTGGTGATTAATTGGAGGCTAGAGTCTCATGGGCTTTCCTGCCCAGGTTGGCTTTGAACCCTGATCCTCAGATCTCAACCTCCTGAGTTCCTAGGGTTATAGTTGTGAGCCACCAGTGCCCAGCTCTTCCCTTATTTGCTCCCAGTTTTTCTCTCCTAGCTCCCTCACCCCACAAGTTGTATAGTTCATTTTCAACGTAGTGTCTAGGGAGCATCACTGCTGAATTAGTTCACCTTTGTCTCACCATTTCTGTGTTTTCCCTTACCCTCCCCAAAACATAAACTTACATACAAAGAAAGAGGTACAGAAATAAAAAACAGCCACAAAGGAGAAGGAAAAAAAAGAAGTAAAATAAATATAAAACCTCTTGTTTCCATTTCTTCCAGTTCTTTTTTAATAAATCCTTCTTCTCTTTCTTCTCCTTTCCTTCATTTCTCCTCCTCTCCCTCCTCTTTATTTCCCATTTTTTAAATTTAATATGCAAAACTTCAAATGGTTGTATAAGTGCCAGGCACCAGAGGCTCATACCTGTGATCTTAGCTACTCAGGAGGCTGAGATCTGAGCCAGGCTGGGCAAGGAAGTCCTTGAGACTCTTGGCTCCTATTAACCACCAAAAAGCTGGAAGCAGCTGTGGCTTAAATGGTTGAATGCCAGTCTTGAGCAAAAAAGCTAAGGGACAGAGCCAGGCCCTGAGTGCAAGCCCGAGTACTGAGGCAAAACAACAACAACAACAACAAATGTTTTCTGCCAGTCCTCTGCTCGCACTCAGGGCCTGGGCGCTGTCCCTGATCTGCTTTTGCTCAAGGCTCGCACTCCACCACTTGAGCCACAGCACCACTTCCGGCCTTTTCTGTGTATCTGGTACTGAGGAATTAAACCCAGGGCTTCATGTATGAAGCACTTTACCGCTAAGCCACATTCCCAACCCCCCCCCCCCAATTTTTTTTTTCTATCAGTTATGGGGCTTGAGCTCTGGGCCTGGGCACTGTCCCTGAGCTCTTCAGCTCAAGGCTAGTAGTGCTCTAGCATTTGAGCCACAGCACCACTTCTGGTTTTCTGATGGCTAATTGGAGATAAGAATCTCTAGGGAGCTGGACACCAGTGGCTCACACCTGTCACACCTGTAATCCTAGCTGCTCAGGAGGAGACTGAGATCTGAGGATCACAGTTCAGAGCCAGCCTAGTGCAGGAACATTTGTGAGACTCTTATCTCCAATTATCCACCAGAAAACTGGAAGTGGAGCTGTGGCTCAAGTGGTAGAGTGCTAACCTTGAGCAGGAGAGCTCAGGGACTGCTCCCAAGCCCAGAGTTCAAGCCTCACAACTGATTAAAAAAAAAAAAAAAAGCCAGGTGCCAGCTCATGCCTATAATCCTAGGTACTCAGGAGGCTGAGATCTGAGGGTTATGGTTCAAAGCCAGCCTGGGCAGGAAATCCAGGAGGGTCTTATCTCCAAATAACCACCAGAAAACCGGAAGTGGCACTGTGACTTACGTGGTAGAGCGCTCGCCTTGAGCTGAAGAGCTGAGGGACAGCGCCCAGGACCAAAGTTCAAGCCCCACAACCAACAAAAGAAGTCTTTCAGAGACTTTTCTACCTGGGCTGGCTTGGAACTGATCCTCAGATCAGTTCTTGAATAGCTAGGGTTACAGGTATGAGCCACCAGTGCCAGCCATAGGGGGGAAAAAATTTAAAGGCTGTACAAGGAGCTGCTTCTTAGTTACCCTTTTTATCATTCTTCTATTCTCCCCTCCCCCATGTGTGGTGTGTGTGTGTGTGTGTGTGTGTGTGTGTGTGTGTGTGTGTGTGTGTGTGTGTGTGTGTGTGGTGCATGCTTACTTCTGTCTCTGGCTCCTCCTTGCAGGGAGATCCTGGCCCCAAGGGAGAGCCTGGTGAGAAGAGCCACTGGGTAAGCGCTGAGCCAGCCCTGACTCCCCCTGCCTGCTCCCACTAAAAGTGCCCAGGAGAGAATTCCTCACCTCCTGGGCGTGGGGGTGCCCCTCCACATCCCTAGCCTGGTCCCCCCACCCCTCACAGCCCCACCCCATCCTGTGGCTCCATGGTGGGGGGCAAAGCCAGCACTGTTAGCAAACAGACCCCAAGCTCTGGGTCTCTTCCCTTGTTCTGTCCCCGCCTTCCCTTGGGGCCTCCCCAGGGCAGGGGGAGGGTTGGGTGCCCCAAACAAGACTGCATTTCCCACTCCCTCCTGTGTTCATAGACCCCTCCAGGAACAGGTAGCTCTTTTCTGCTCCCCTAATCGGGGGAGAAAGAAAGCGCAGAAAGACAGTATCCATATAAGGCGGCAAGAGGGCGCCCTAGGAAAGCCATGAGAGGGAGGGGAGGCCTAGAAAGGGTGGTGTGCATAGGGCCCTATGGTAAGAAGGACAGGGGATCCAAGACACCACCATATATGTAGGACATTCAGAAAGCTAAGTATATTTAACATGGCTAATAGGTCAGGAGAGCCTGGGTTCCACACATGTGGAGGAGATCCCCAAGGAATGACAAGGGAAGCCTAGAAACTGTCATGTGCAGGGGAACATGGAAAATGGACTCACTAGATACAAAGGAAGCCATGAGGGATAGAGAGAGGGGCCTAGAAACTGTCATAGGCACTGCACACAGAGGATATGGGAAGAGAGACCTAGCAGCCACATCCACAGAAATCCCATGATTCGTATGGAATCGTGGAGAGCTTTACAATCATTGGAGATAATTACAGTGAGCAGAATGTTCCGCATGGGAAATGGTCAAGGTAGGGGCAGACACCTGTAGGAGAAACAAAAAGGGGGCCGGTAGCACACGGTCCACTTTCACTTCCCTCCACCTCTCCTCCTCACACCTGCAGTCTGGTTGGGACACCCTACTTCCTGGAAGCCACTAGTCAGTGAGGATGTGGACATCCCAGTACCTACCCTGTCCTCTTGGCTTTTGATTGTGGGGTCAGTGATGGATACAGCCATGGGAGCCCTCCCACCCTGCACGAGTCTCCTCTCCTGTGTTCCCTATGACTCCTGGGGCCCTGCTATCTCTCCAGCTGCTTGCTCTATATCGCGTCCCATTCACTGCTCCAGAAATACTCTCAGTGTAGGCATAGGCTGAGCCAGGGACCAAGAGACCTGGGCTTGAGGACAGTCTCCACCATGCCCAGGAAAGGTAGGGGAGGCGAGGTCAAAACAGCTCTGCATATGGAGCCCTGGCTGATGCCCGCCCCCAGACCAAATCTTGAACTCAGCACAACCTGGGAGAGGGGCCCCATGAGCTAGCAGGGTCCCTGCCTGTCTACCGTCCTCCCCATTGTCCACCCACCTTTCCGTCCTTGCTTGCTGCTTGCTGGGGAGGGGCTCTCAGGGCTGCAGGTTGCATGAAGCTTTTGGGGTTGGGGAACCAGCTCCATTGGAAGCAGGTAGGACAGGGGTCTGGGGCCCCGGGGGTGTTTCCTGTGTATATTTCACTTGAGTACTGCTGTTCAGAGGTTGGCCTGGCCTGCCTGTGGCTAAGTAGTGACACCTTGTGGTCATAGGCATGTACTGCAGTAACTGAGTGGCCTGTCTAAATAGATGGAAGTCTTTACCCCTTATTGGAAGCCTTTACCCTTATTCAGATAGGGAAACTGAGGTGTAACTGGGCAGAGAATACTAGATCCTAGACTTTTTTTTTGGTTGCTGGTCGTGTGGCTTGAACTCTGGGCTTGGGCGCTGTCTCTGCACTCTTCAGCTCAAGGCGAGCACTCTACCACTTGAGCCACAGCGCCACTTCTGGTGGTTTTTCTGGTGGTTTATTGGAGATAAGAGTCTCACAGACTTTCCTGCCAGGGCTGGCTGTGAACTGCGATCCTCAGATCTCAGCCTCCTGAGTAGCTAGGATTACAGGCGTGAGCCACCGGTGCCCAGCTAGATCCTAGACTTTTATGCTCCAAAATGAACCAAGAAACCTGCTACTACACCCCGAGTATCTCTTCTGTGGGTGCCAGGCCTGGGGCTGGGCACTGTAGACAGAGATGCCCCTGCAGATACAGTATCTACCCTCAGGATAGCCTCAGTGAAGTGGAGGAGAAACGTTCAGTTGTGATGGCAGACACTGAGGTAAACTCCTTGAGGATACAGACTAAACCTGAAAGGTTGCATACCCACACACAGGGTAAGAAGAGATAGAACGTCATAAGCAGAGGCTCTAGGGTAGGAGTAATCCTGAGGTATTGAAGGAGCTGTAAATACTTCTAAGGTGGCAGGCAAGAAGTAAGACAGAAGCCAGAGAGGCTTTCAGGACTTAGGAACCAATATTAAGGAGTTTGAATTTTGTTTTATGAGCATCGGAATATTATACACAGGGTAGTAAAGTGGTCAGGGTTTTGTTTCAAAATATTCCTCTGGTTGCCATAAGAACAGATGAGAGGCTGGGCGCTGGGGGTTCATACCTGTAATCCTAGCTGAGATCTGAGGATCCAGGTTCAAAGCCAGCCTGGGCAGGAAAGACCGTGAAACTCTTATATCCAATAAACCACCAGAAAACTGGAAGTGGCACTGTGGCTTGAGTGGTAGAGCGCTCGCCTTGAGCTGAAGAGCTGAGGGACAGCGCATAGGCCCAAAGTTCAAGCCCCATGTCCAACAACGACAACAAAAAAAAACTAAAACAGATGAGAGGGCTGGGAAGGTGGCTCAATGGTAGAGTGTTTGCCTTGCGTGCATGAAGCCCTGGGTTCAATTCCTCAGTACCACATAAATAGAAAAAGCCAGAAGTGGTGCTGTGGCTCAAGTGGTAAAGTGTTAGCCTTGAACAAAAGAAGCTCAGAGACAGTGCCCAGGCCTGAGGTTCAAGCCCCAGGACTGGCAAAAACAAAAAAAACAAAAAAAAAAACAGATGAGAAGGGGCGCCATGGGAAAAGCAGAAGGAAACTAGTTCAGAAACTGTTTCCATCTTCTAGTGAGAGACCCTGGGAGCTGAAACTCGGAGCAGAGACAGCAAGGACAGACAGACCTCAGTGGAGCTAAGAGACCCTTTGGGTGCTGATTTGACAGTGAAGGGAAATAAGAGTCAAAGATAATCAAAATAGTTAAATGGAGAGCTGGATATGGTGGCACAGGCCTATAATTCCAGTTTGAGACCATCATACTGAGGATCTAGGGAGACACAGTGGCTCATGTCTGAAATTACAGCTATATCATAAGCAGAGATCAGGAGGATCAAAATCTGAGTCCACTCCTGGGCAAAATATTAGCAAGACCCCCCCCAAAAGCTGGGCAACTCCCTGGGAAAATGAGATCAGAAAGGTTGTGATTTGAGGCAACTGTTAGCAAAACAGTTTTTGAGGGGCTGGGAAGGTGGCTCAGTGGTAGAGCGCTTGCCTTGCATGCTCAAGGCCCTGGGTTCGATTCCTCAGTACCACATAAGCAAAAAGAAAAAAGCCGGAAGTGGTGCTGTGGCTCAAGTGGTAGAGCGCTAGCCTTGAGCTGAAGAGCTGAGGGACAGCGCCCAGGTCCAGAGTTCAGGCCCCACGACCGGACCCAAAAAAAAAAAACAAACAGTTTTTGAGGCCAGTTTTGGCTCGTACCTTTCCTTTTTCTTTTTTTTGGGGGGGTCCAGTTGTAGGGCCTGAACTCTGGGCCTGGGCACTGTCCCTCAGCTCTTCAGCTCAAGGCTTGTGCTCTACCACTTGAGCCACAGTGCCACTTCCGGCTTTTTTCTTTTTGCTTATGTGGTGCTGAGGAATGGAACCCAGGGCCTCATGCATGCAAGGCAAGCGCTCTACCACTGAGCCACCTTCCCAGCCCCACTCATACCTTTCTTAATGAAGAGCTGGGCCTTGTAGCAATGCCTGTTATCCTAGCTACTTCAGGAAGCTTAAAATAGGTGGACCAGGGCCCAGGCTTATCCCAAGCAGGAAGTGAGACACTATCTCAAAAACAGGCAGCAAAACTGGATGCTTGTGGTTCACACCTGTAATCCTAGCTACTCAGGAGGCTGGGATCTGGGGATGATGGTTCAAAGCCAGCCCAGGCAGGAAAGTCCGTGAAACTCTTATCTCCAATTAACCATGAGAAAACCGGAAGTGGCACTATGGCTCAAGTGGTAGAGTGCTCACCTTGAGCTCAAGAGCTGAGGAACAATCACCCAGGCCCAGAGTTCAAGCCCCACAGCTAACAAAAAAAGGCAGCAAAAAAACCAAAGTTGGTTTTGTGGCTGGCTGTAAAGGGCCCTCCTGTCACATGATGGCAGCGCTTTCCTGGCGCAAGCTCTGAGACAGCAGTTCTGCCCCCACAAGTCGGTGCCCCGCAGTGTGCAGTCAACAGGAGTCAGGGGGAGGGGTGGGGAGGGGAGCATCCCTTGGTGATTGCTTATACCTGCTATCCCCCTCTGTCCCGCCCCTGATCTTTGCCAGTCCCTGGCCCTGAGCTGTGGCAGGTGGTGGGGCAGTGGGACAGGTGCATGTCCCAGGTGGGGCATGGGCCGCTGACAGGCTTTGCGGGGCTCCCCCTGCGCCCCTCGGCTGCATCTGTCTCTTTCCTCCACAGGGGGAGGGGTTGCACCAACTACGCGAGGCTTTGAAGATTTTAGCTGAGAGGGTTTTAATCTTGGAAACAATGATTGGGCTCTATGGTGAGTAGACAGACGGACAGACAGCCCAGCCGCTTGCCTGCCAACCTTCCCCAAGCCTTCCTAAGCCCCGTTATGAGGCTGGAGAAGGTACTTGCTCCAAGCAGGAGGCCAAGACTACCTGTCCCTCAATGACTGGTGCCCCCTCCACAGGGGACTGAGGGCCCTGGAAGTCCAGGCCCCGCGCTGGGGGTTGGGCCTGGGCTTCTGGGCATTGTGGGTAATGTGGTTTCCAGGCTTGCAGGATACCAGAGATGACAGATTTCAAGCATGAAAGGAATAATGGGTAATCAGCAAGGGATTGTGGGTAACAGAGACGGGCTCTGGCAGTGCAGGGGCTCATGAGCAAGACAGTCAGAGCTCAGGTCCGCAGAAGGATTATGACTTAACAGATCAGGTCTAGAGAAGTCAAGTCTCCAAACCCTCAGGACACTAGATCATGGAGATAGATTCCAGAAGAGCAGGTGACTGTCGGTGACAGAGCCGGGCTCAGGCCCCAGGGGATTCTGGGTAATATACTGACTACCAATTCTGACTCTCTTCCTCCATAAGCCTCCAGAGGCACTCACAGGACCAGCCCTGCAGGCCCCAGGTGTCCCTTCCAGTTCCCACTCTGGTCCTTATCTGTCCCTCACCCCTTCCTTCAACGCTGTGGCTCCTCATCCTGGCTGCCTGAAGAGCCCGGCAAGCCCTGTTCCTAGCTTAGGAGGGGAGATGGAGGTCCCCATGGACACCTGTCCAGGCTCCTACCTGTGCCCCTGCCTCCCATGGGCTCCCGGCCCAGCCCTTGGAGGCCAGACTCGCACTGTCTGCTCTTCTGATCTCCCATCAGGCTCCTAGCTTACAGAGCTTCCTGCAGCAGCAGGCTCAGCTGGAGCTCCTGGCCAGACGGGTCAGCCTACTGGAAGCCATCATCTGGCCAGGTAATGGCAGGGCGGGCAGGCAGGGGCAGTTCTTCCACAGGGGCCTGGGCACGCACGAGGTGCCTCCAAGTGCTGGGTCCAGGTCAGCAGATGGAACCTAGCACGGCAGAGGCTCCAACAACTAGTTCTTGAGTCGAGGCCTGTTTTCTATGTGCTGCACATCTGCTGCACAGGACCAAGCACCCACATAGTCCTACTGCCCTCACGCAGCTTTGGGGGCTGGGGGGGCTGGGGTGAGCCCTGGCCAAGTGAGATATATCATGGTGAAGTACAGAAATGCTTCTAGCTCTGGCCTGGGGGAGGGGAGAGATTTGCAGTCAGGAAGGCACCGTGGAGATGGTGATGTCCCAGTGGAGATCAGAAGAGCAAAAATCAGGGGAGAGTGAACAAGGAGAAGAAGAAGAAAGGCCAAGAGGCCAGAGAGGCCTGAAACACTTATTCCTTGAGATTGTTGGGAGCTGAGGGCCAAAGTGCAGAATCTGGCAGAACACACTAAGAAGATTCTAGAAGGCAGGTCAAGGTGGCATGGGAGGATGTTAGGTACTACATGGGCAGAACCTTTCTCTATGCTTGGTTTCTGAGGGGTGAAACTGGGGACATCTCTGCCTTTAAAACAGAGCCTGTAGGCGGCACTGGGGAGACAGGATTGGTTGCCCACAGGCCTGGGCTCCACTCCTGCTCAGAGGGCCTCCCAGCTGCCCTCTGCCCTCTGCAGTCTCCCCCTCAGCTCAAGGGGAACAGAGCTGCTTTCAACACAGAACAGAGGCGCCTGCAGGAAGGAGGCTCGAGGTTAGAACCAAGACTCCTGCATTTAGCAGAACTATAGGGAACCATTCCTGGTGAAGCCAGATGGAGGTGGAAAGATCTAGAAGCTGGAAAATGTGGTCTTGATTCCAAAGTCCCTTCCCCAGCTGCATGCTCTGTCTAGCCCCTCCCCCAGACACATCGTTTCTGTGGCTTCTAGAAAGATCAGGACTGTCTCCCAGAAGTCCTTCCCCACCCAGCTGGTCACCTGGGGCCAGGCAAACCCTATCCCCTCCTTAGGGTGGGAGACCAAGGTCTCATGGGAGACTCACCCAGGCTTGTACCTGAGGCCGGGCGGCTTCAGGTCCCTCATGGGCCTCTTCACTCTCAGGGATCTGCAGACAAAGGACTAAGGACCAGCATTGTTTAGGTGTCTCTCTCCTTCCTCCAGAGAAGCATTAGGACAGGAGTTAGATGAGACTCCTCAGGTCCCTGAGGCTGCCCCTGCCTGCCTTCAGCCAGCTCTGCCTGACAGTGAGGAAAGTATGGGATACCAGCCCGGGAGAGTGTAGCTCCCTTGTTGAGCCTGCTCTGGTAGGGCTTGGAGGGTGAGGTGGAGGGAGACAAGGAGATGAGACCCAGGCTGGGGTGGGGGAGGTGGGGGGGGAGCTCAGTGGTTAAAGAACCACCAAGGTAGTGCAGGCTGGGTGGCTTAGTGGTAGAGCGCTTGCCTAACATGCATGAAACCCTGGGTTCAATTCCTCAGTACCACATACACAGAAAAAGCCAGAAGTGGCGCTGTGGCTCAGGTAGTAGAGTGCTAGCCTTAAGCAAAAGAAGCTCAGGGACAGTGCCCACGCCCTGAGTTCAAGCCTCAGGACTGGCAAAAAAAAAAAAAAGGGCTGGGAAGGTGGCTCAGTGGTAGAGTGCTTGCCTTGCATGCATGAAGCCCTGGGATCCATTCCTCAGAACCACATACACAGAAAAAGCTGGAAGTGGTGCTGTGGCACAAGCACTAGCCTTGAGCAAAAAGAAGCTCAGGGACAGTGCCTAGGCCCTGAGTTCAAGCCCCAGGACTGGCAAAAAAAAACAAACACCAATGCCAAAAGAAAAGGTTCTGGGCTCCACCCCATTGGCCACAATTAAAGACCCATCAGATGCTCACATGTGGCACTAACCAGCTGCCAGCCTGGCCAGGATGAGCACTGGTCAGCTCTAGTCCTATGATAAGCTTGCCAAGTGGCTGAGACCCATTGCTTGGATGAAGAAACAGAGTCAATTGACACCTCCCCTGTCCTCCAGTCACCAGGATAGTGACAGTTAAGGCTCGGGCTACCCTAGGTCTGTTTTCCACCTTAGCAGGCATTGAGTGGGGTCCAGGGGAAAAATTAGGACCCCAAATTAGAACATGTCATAACCAACTCAGAGTAATCAGACCTGAAGGAGACCTGGGTCAAAGCCACACATACTGAGTAAACCTGCGTTCATTGCAAGGGTGTGACCAGAGTATTATCTCCACATTCCAGATGAAGCCCAAAGGCCTGAGGCCTGCCCATAGCCACCTTCGCCAGGGCAGGGTGGGATGGGGCTTGACCCTAGCGGGTGCTGGAACTAGGAGTACCACCCTCTTCCCTGACAAAGGGCGCAGCAAGTTCCTGTGACGGGCTATACATGCGGTCAGCTGCATAGGCCCCAGATCTGAGTCCACAGGACATGGGCTCAGGCAGTAGGGTGACAAGGGGACACACAGCCCACTCCCCAGCAGCACCCCCAGTAGGAAGTTGGTGTTTGCCGAAATCCAAGTTTGTCCTAGGATTGGAGTTCTGGTGGCTTGACCACATGCCCTCCTGGGGCTCTCCTCCATATGTGCCCCTCTGCTGCTAGAAAAGTAGCCTAGCCTGACCTTGTTTAACCTTGGGAGTATCTGAGGAGATAGTCATAGAGGGCTTCCTGGAGGAGGTAGCTCCTCTAGTTTTTCTCCCAGGTGGCAAGAATGCCTATTATTCCACTTCAGACCTGGGGTGCAGCTGGCATTTAGGATGACACACCTTACCACAGCCCCAACCAGATCTGACTTGATCTTGGTGCTTCCTGGGCCTGCAGAGTCCATCTGGCAATACTCTTTTTTTTTTTTTTGTTCAGTCATGGGGCTTGAGCTCTAGGCCTGGGCACTGTCTCTCAGCTCTTCAGCTCAAGGCAAATGCTCTACTTGTGAGCCACGGCACCACTTCCGGTTTTCTGAGTTGGTTTATTGGACTTAAGAGTTTCACAGCTTTTCCTGCCCGGGCTGGCTTTGAACTGCAATTCTCAGATCTCAGCTTCCTAAAAAGCTAGGATTACAGGTGTGAACCACCAGAGCCTGGCTTTTTTTTTTTTTTAAAGAGACTATAATCCTAGGTACTCAGGAGGTTGAGATCTGAGGATAGCAATTCAAAGCCAGCCCAGGCAGGAAAGTCTATGAGACCCTTATCTTCAGTTAACCATCAGAAAACCAGAAATGGTGCTGTAGCTCAAACGGCAGAATGCTTGCCTTGAGCTGAAGAGCTCAGGGACAGTGCCCAGGCCCAAAGCCCCTCGACCAACACACACAAAAAGAGAGACTAGACAACCCCTGACACAGGCCCAATTTTCCCAGGTCCTGCCAAGGTCTAGGACAGAGCCTGACCCTCCTAAACCCTTCCCCACAACTGATGGCCCACCCCAGGATAGTCTCTTCCTTAGACTCAGTTTACCCAGCTAGGAAATGATGATTACAGCACACCTTCACTCCACGGGTAAAGAAAAATACTTTAATGGTGCTTTGGCTGCCTGGGGAACATGTCATACAAACGGGGTCTGCTTAGCTCCACCTGACAGCACGCAGTCCATCAGCCCCCAGCACTGTCTTGGGTGAGGGCTGAGCAGCCTGTAGAGGTCCTGCTGTCCCACAGCAGTCTGCAGACCCACAGTGCATTGCACCTGGAAGGGGATGCTCCCCTGAAGGGAAGTGGGCACCCACGTGACACCCCCTAACATGCTCTCTCTCCTTCTCCTTCCCTCTGACAGAACCAGAGCTGGGGTCCGGGGCAGGCCCTAGTGACACGGGCGCCCCTAACTTCCTTCGGGGCAAGAGGGGAGGACATGCAGCCAACTACCGCATCGTGGCCCCCAGGAGCCAGAATGAGAGGGGCTGAGGGCAGCCGTGCCCTGTGGGTGGACCATGCCAGGCGCCCCTCCCTCCCTCACCTGGACTTGGTCAGCTGCCTCCAGGGACAGCTGGTTCCTATTTATTAATGTCCTCAGGGTCTCTCCTGCCATCTAGGCCCTTGCCTTGGGCCGTCTTGGTTCTGGTACCTGCACCTGCCTGAGGCTGAGCAGGTCTGGGGCCTGACAGGGAAGTAGGCCTCACTCAGGAGCCCAGGCCTCAGTTTCCCTCTATGAAATGGGGTAGAGGTACGAGACTTCTCATCTCATCAGCCGCTGCCCTGGCCCTCAGCAGGTACAGACTGTTGCGGGGGGTAGCCTCGGGGTGGGGGGTGGAACCACACCCCCCCTTTCCTCTCTTCTGGTGCTGTGTTCTCACGGAGGCCAGGCTGCCAATCCATGACTGCATGGTCGGAGGGCTCCTTGCCTCAGTTCTGCCCCCAGCCCCTTCCATGTCCTGAGTGGGGGTGGGGCCTGGAGAGGAAAGGGCTGCCTGCGACACATGCCGGGAGGCAGGTATGTACTGGACAATAAAGGTCCCTGCAGGATCACACCCAGCCTGCTCTCTGTGCCTGGACTGGGCAGTTGAGGAGGGCGGCCTCAGCTGAGGCCCCAGGCTGGGCAGGCACGGGCTGGGAAGGAGCAACAGAGACCACTGGAGAGAACTCAGGCTTCTGGGGTCCCCAGACACCCCAGTGCTGCTCTGCCTCCATCGCCATTCATTCATCCTCCCTGATACCAACAGAAGAGCCAGCTATAAACAAATGCTTTTATTCTCCATGGTACCATGGCAATGCTGGTGGGGGTGGGGGGGGAGAAGGGAGGGGGAGAGGGCCCACTCCTGCCCCTCCCCCAGGTCCGGAACCCCACAGAGCAGCTCCAGCCATTAGGCCAGGTCTGTGTCCCCACCCTCCGCCTGGGCTAGAGGGACCCCGGGCCCACCCTCCCATCAGTCACCAAAGTCTCAGAGTCCACTTGCCCTCCAACCAGCAGTGACACAGCGCCCTCCACACGGCCTGTGGCTGCCAGAGCCGCCACGGCCTGCTCTGTGGGGAAGCCCATGCGCTCCAGCTGCTGCAGCCTGCAGGGGGAGACAAGGAAAGAGTGGCAGGCCCGGCAGGCCCCTACCCCAAGGAATCACATCCTGCCCACTGGCCTTACCGTAAAGAAGAGACGGAGGACTTGGGCAGACACAGTGGGCCCTGGGGCCCCTGGGCTGGTCCATCAAGGAGTGAGGCCCGGATCCCCTCCTGTAACATCTGCTCATCCAGAGCTGCCCACAGTGGGCTTCCTGGGGCAAAGCTGGATCCAGACTGGGTCCAGTCCAGACTGGCCTCCAAGGAGCCCTCCCAGGTCAGCTGTGTAGGCCCCAGGCCTGGGGGGAACTGGGTTGAGCTGTCTCTATGAGACCAGAGACCAGGGGAGGCCACGGAAGGAGGTCTGGGGTTTGCAGGCCTGCAGGGCAGAAGTACAAGAAGGCCTGGTTGTCACCCACTGCCACATTTCCAGCACCAAGGCTGGGGTCAAAGCACCCCCTCACCTGGTTCCAACAGGATGGGTGAGTGGCAGCTCAGCCAGGCTGCCTGGGGCAGGGAGGAGCCTCAGAGGCCAGCACCCGGCCAGCGTCCTGCACAAGATGCCATCCTGGAGCGCCTGTAGTCGCTGCTCTGACATCTCCAGCCACCGGAAGGCACCGGCAGCATCTGTCTGCCCAGAACAGGGCGGCTGGTTAAAGAAGGCCAAAACCAGCCAGGAATGTACATGCCTGGAATTCCCTCGTGTGTCCCTCACCATGGCCCTGCAGGAGTATGCTGTCCCCCAAGTCACCAGCCTCGGCCAGAAGGAAAGGCACCTGCAGAAGTGACTGGGCTCCAGGGGACAAGTCAGATGTGACTCCTTATACAACCTGGCACCTCCCAGCCATGGCTACCCCCAGACTCACTCTGCTCCCAGGGCCCTGTGTGCCTGTCAGCTCCAACTCTTCCAGGAGCTCTGTGACACCTTCTCCTGCCTCAGCCAGGCCTGGGCAGTTGCTCTCCCTAATCAAACAGGCTGCAGAGGCTGGCCTACTCTGATGGCAGTTTTCCCCATAGGCATTAAATATCTTTGGGGCAAATGTTCGTGCTTGAGGCACCTTACCACAAGCCACAGGTCCCACTGGGTTCCCTAATCTGGAACCTGCTTGGTTGGCTCCCACCACTGATCTTTGCATTTGCTGTGCCCTCTACTTGGCCTGGTTCTCTTCACCCCAACCCCTCCTTCCTCACCTTAGGTGCTACCTTCACTTCAGGGCTCTGGTTGGTGCCCGAGGGTTGTGGGGGGCGCGGGAAGGCACCTAGCCCTTCCCATTTGCTAGTCAGGTGCTCTATCACTTGAGCCACACCCTAGCACTTTGGTCATTTCTCTGGTAGGGTCTCATGCTTTCTCCTCAGAGTAAGAACCAGAGTAAGAACCCACATCCCCACCTCTTGTCTCCAAAATAGATCACAGGCATGTACCACCATGCCAAGCTTAATGAAGTCTTGCTAACTTTTTTTTTTTTTTTTTGGTCCAGTCGTGGGGCCTGAACTCTGGGCCTGGGCACTGTACCTCAGCTCTTCAGCTCAAGGCTAGCGCTCTACCACTTAAGCCACAGCACCACTTCTGGCTTTTTTCTTTTTTTGCTTATGTGGTGCTGAGGAATCGAACCCAGGGCCTCATGCATGCAAGGCAAGCACTCTACCACTGAGCCACCTTCCCAGCCCCAAAGTCTTGCTAACTTTTGCCCAGGCCTCAAAGCACCATTTTCCTGTTCCCAAATGGCCTCATGGGGTCCTTTCAACGAGGTAACCATGGACCGTGGGCTCAGGCAAAGGATACAGGCCAGGCCAGCAAGGAGGCCACAAAGCAGCTGCAGGAAGGGTGGTTCGGAGCTGAGGAGAGAAGTCAGGGCGAGCAGCAGCCATGGCAAGAGCCATGGTGGCAGTGTCTCTTGGGGCCGTCTGGGGCAGTGACCCTGCCCTGCCAGCATAGCCAGGTGGACAGGCATGTATCCACAGCCTCCGGCTGCCCTGGACACCCCCAGGCCTGCTAGCAACACAGCCAGCAGCCCGGCAGCCAAGGAGAGCAGGGCGGAGGCGTACAGGAAGCGCAGCGTGCCCAGGCGGCACTCTTGCCGCCAGCTCAGAGCAGGCAGGAGCAACAGGCTCAGGAGAAGGCTGGGCAGTGCCGTGTGGCCCAGGGCATGGGTCAGCAGCCGGTGCACTGGGAAAAAGAAAGGGTGTATGTGCCAGGTTACTGGTCCCAAGCCCCAAGGCCATCCCAGGTGTGCTAGGCTAGGGGTGGAGGGGCAGAAACTATCACCTGCCCCTTCCCAGGAGCCAGCAGGCCCACTGCCATCACCAGCCACTGCAGGGGCTTCCTGTTTGTGTCAAAGGAACCCACTACTCACTACATCCCAGGCACTATGAAGATGCTACATATGGAATGCTTACCAAATCCATCACACCTGGTTTACTGTACAGTTTTTGTTACCCAATAGTGGACTTCAGGGCCTTGTGCTTGCTAGGCAGGCTCTCTACCATGTGAACCACACCCCTAGACCTTTTTGCTTGGGATTAGTTTTTGAATAGGATCTTTTTTTTCTTTTTGTAGGTTATAAGGCTTGAACTCAAGGCCTAGGGGGCTGTCCCTGAGCCTCTCTGCTGAAGGCTAGCATTCTACCACTTGAGCCACAGCACCACTTTGTTTTTGAGTTGGTTAACTGGAGTCCCATGGGCTGGCTTCAAACTGGGATCCTCAGATCTCAGCCTCCTGAGTAGCTAGGATTACAAGCATGAGCCACTGGGACCCGGCTTGAATAGGATCTTCAACATATGCCCACACCTGGACATAGGTCCTTCTGCTTAGGCTTACTGCTGAACTGAGCTGGGATCTCTTCAATTTTTTGCCTCAAACTTCAGTCCTGATCTCTGCCTCCCAAGTAGCTAAGATTTTTTTTTTGGTTCAGTTATGGGGCCTGCTCTGGGCCTGGGGGCTGTCCCTCAGCTCTTCAGCTCAAGGCTAGCGCTCTACCACTTGAGCCACAGCACCACTTCTGGCTTTTTCCCCCCCACTTATGTGGTGCTGAGGAATGGAACCCAGGGCCTCAAGCATGCAAGGTAAGCAAGCGCTCTACCACTGAGCCACCTTCCCAGCCCGTAGCTAAGATTTTAAGTGGAAGTCTCTGAGCCTGTTTTTGTGTTTTTGTTGGTTGTGGAGCTTGAACTCTGGGCCTGGGCACTGTCCTCAGCTCTTCAACTCAAGGCTAGCGCTCTACCACTTGAGCCACTGAACCAGTTCCAGTTTTCTGACTGGTTTATTGGAGATAAGGGTCTCATAGACTTTCCTGCAGGGCTGGACTTGAATCAATCCTCAGATCTCAGCCTCCTGAGTAGCTAGGATTACGGGCGTGAACCACTGGCGCCCAGCTGAGCCTAGTTTTTGTTTTGGAAGTTCTTCCTATGTAGCCCACGTTGGCCTCAAACTCTGATCCTCAGCCTCTCAAGTTCTGGGATTACAGGTGCTGACAGCACAAATTCTAGCGAGACTGGCTGGTTCAACCCTGGAGCCACCTCATTCCCAAAGTCATTTAACCTTTAGCACACTGCTTAACCTCTCTGAGCATCATTTGCTCAACTGTAAACTGGAGCTGTTATTAAAAAGCAGGCGCTCAGCTGTTTCAGAGAACAGTTGTCAGACAGGGATGCCTAGAAGCCAACTACCCACAGCTTCCCACCATCATAGACTGGCCTCTCTGCCCTCCTCGTCTGTGCATGGGCTGCCGGCGCTCCCAAGGCCAATCTTCCCCAGGTTACAGGTCTCATCCCCACATGATCGCAGCAGGAAGTTTCTAGCTTCCTACAGGGTCCAAGCATCTGGCCCTCACCCTGCCAAGGGTCCAGCAACAGCTCTGGGGCCAGGGCCAGACTGGGGCCAGCCCCTACCAGCCACAGGCTGCTCAGCAGTAACATCAGGACTGAGGAGGCAAGGGGCAGCGCTGAGGACAGGGAGCCAGTGGGACCGCTGGCTTTCATAGCTTGGTTGTGGATGGTCAAGGGTAGTCCTGGGGCTGTGTGCTGGCAGGAGTAAAGAAAAACAGTAACAACAGTTATTATTGCAGCTTTTATCTGACTCCCTCTTAAGTATTTACCAACACAACAAGCTAGAGTGGCAGGCCAGCAGCTTGGCCACAGTGGAGCCCAGATCAAAATCCATGTGAATACAGCTATGTTCCCATCTCACCCACACACAAGGCAGGCAGGTGACAAAAATCCTGAACACTGATAAGCTCAGAAGCATCTCAGGAAATTGAACTGGGCTCCAGGCTGCCAAAAGGAAGGATCCAGAATCCAGGGCAAATTTAGGACTATCTCTAGCTTTCTTCCTCCTCCCTCCACTCCACTTTGCCCAGCCTTAGAGTTCCAGATAACCTCAACTACCCTTGAACAAGGGGCTAGACCAGCCAATAGGCGGTCAGACTGGGGAGGAGGTGGGGCCGGAGGGCTGGAGGAGGGGCCACATTGGAAGTGACCTAGAATGAGGCCTCTGCTTCCTCCCCAACCCTGAGCACTGACAGCCCTGGCTCTATCTCTTTCTTGATCAGTGTCCTTGGGCACGTTTCCCAACTTAGCTTCTCTGAGAAATGGGGACTAACCAAGTCTTTTCCTCAGGAGGATGATATGAGGGAGGTGGGGGGGGGGGGGGGAGGAGAAGAGAAATAGACTGAGGCCTGCAGCACCTGGTCAATAAATCAGAACCATCCCACTATCTGTGGGAGGGAGATCAACTGGCCCTAGATAGGGCTGCAAAATGGAGGCAGCTGCCCCAGCCTAGCTGCTCCAGGCTCTGGCTCCCAAACATGGATACAGCCAGCCCACAAAGCAAAGCTTTTTCTACTCTGTGCTCTCTCTCCCTCTCCCCCGCCCCCCCCCCAGCCTGCAGGGGGGGGGGGGAAGAGAGCAGCCTTTCATCCCTGGCCAGGTCTTTGTCTCAGGATTCCTAAGGAATTGATTCAGGGTAGAAAGATGGATCCTAAAGACACAAGCCTGCCTAGTCTCTGCTTCCCAGCCAAGGGCTCCCTTACTCAGCATCTGCCACTCTCCTATAGGAAAGATGTGGCTATCTTCTCTGCCTGCAATGTCCTGCCGTCACCATTGCCAACCAGCAAACTCCTACTCACCCTTTGAAGCCCAGCTCAGATGGCCCCCTTTTTCCTAACCTCCCCTCCAACATGGACCTCTTAGGAGCCCATTATCTCCTTAGGAAAGGTGGTCTGAGTTCAGAGGGTGAAGTTCACCATTGGTACCGTCTGCACAGTGTTGGTGCTTTGTATTTGTCCACAGAAAAAAGGCAGGAGGATGGCTCCAGGTCCTGCAGAGGGATGTGGGGTGAACCCTGGCTTCTCCTCGGCGAAGCTGGGCTGAGGTTCTGGAAAGGAGGCTGGTGTCACCCTTGCCTGGAGGCAGAGTCTGGGGCCAGGGCAACCGCTGAAGCTTCCTCTCCCACCGGCACAACCATCGTACCCTTGGGCACTTGAACAAAAGTGAAGGACTCGCCCGTGGGCACACACACAAAGACGGAGACTGGAGCCCCCTGGATCTGTTTCTTCACTAAAATGGAGCTGTGCGGCCATGAGACCCTGCCTACCTTCACTGGGCAGCCTGGAGGGCAATGGGAAGTCAGGGACGGGGCAGATTCTTCTGGGTGGTGGGCAGAGTGTGATGGGGGTGGGGGTTTGTCCCAGGTCTGGGTCGAACTCAGCTTTGTGACTTTGGTTAAAGTATTCAGTTTCCTTGGGCCTCAGTTTCCCATTCTGTTAAAAAAAAAAAAAAAAAGGTATATTGGATTTAATTACACAGGCCTCCACGACGCTGACCGTTACGGGGCGGGGGGGGGGCGGCTCTCGGGGCCAGGCACGTGTTGGGGGGCCCCTCCCCCGCCATGGCCCTCGGTCCCCCCCCCCCCCCCGCCCGCGTCCGGGTCACGCGTCTGAGGTACTCACCGCGGAGCGCGCCCCTCACCCCGCAAGGCCGGGCGGGCCCCTCCCTCCCCCCCCCCACCCCGCACCCGGCTGGGAATCGAGCCTCAAGCTGCGGGCTGAGACCCAGAAACCCCCCAAAACCCACGGCACGCACGCCCGGGCGCGTGACCCCGGCCGGCGCCGCCAGCCCCCTCCCTCCCCCGCCGCCCGCCGATTAGTCAGCAGTTGTCTTGGGCCCAGATCCCTTCCCCCAGCCTTCCCGTCCTCCTCCGTTTTCCTCCAGGGCAGACTCTTCAGAGACGGTCCCTAGAGCCAGCGGACGTAACCATTCCGAACCCCCTGGCCTCGCGCGAAGAGTCGCTCCGGTTCGATTCTGACACCGGCTCCCCGCCGCCCCAGCCCCTCGGCTGCTACTGCGACCCGCGCGTCCCGTCTGGTGCTCTCTGGAGAGGGGCTGGGACAACGGTTTCGGGAGTGAAGAACGAGAGAGCGGCGCTTCTCCCCTCGTTCCTCCACCCCTGTGGCCTGGCCCGATGGTAGCGCCCGGGGTTGCGGGTTTCGCGCCTGCGCAGTGCGACGCCTAGAGGGAAAGCGAGAGGGAGACGGACGTTGAGAGAACGAGGAGGAAGGAGAGAAAATGGCGTCCACGGGTAAGTATGGTGGAACCGTGGTGGCGCCGGCGGACGCCCGGACGCCCAAACGGGGGGGTCTCTCGCCTCTAAGGGCGCGGGGAGCGGGGGTGACTGAGTGGAGTTGTGGAGAGAGGCCGGAGGTCCCCGCCGCGGCCCGACCGAGGGGGGGGTGGGGTGGGGGAGAGTGGGTGAGGGGGGGGGGGGCCGCGGTTCCTCCCCTCCCCCACCGCGCGGGCCGGTTCTGGAACCTTCGGGCGCGCGGGGGCTCGCGGCCGCGGCGGGGCCGCGCGGGGCCCCCCCTGGGCCTCCATTGTGTGGCGGGCGGTCGTCGGTCCCCGCGCTGCGGGCCGCTCGCCACGTGGGCGGGGCCTCCGGCCCGGGCGGCCTCGCGTGAGGCGCGAGGGGAAGCGGCGGCCAGGCCTCGAGCGCGGCGCCCCGAAAGCGGGGCGCGGCGGGGCGGGGGCGCGGGCGCAGACGGTGCCCCCCCCCCGCTGCCCCAGCGAGCCTCCCGCCTCCCCAGCCCCTGTTTTTTCTAGAAGGCCGCTTTGGTCGGAGGGCGACTTTAACCGGAGAAGCTGAGGCTGGGGGGGGGGGGGGGGAAGGAAAAAAATACAACACACAAAAGCATGGCGGATTTGGGAGCCCGGGGCGCCGGCCGGCCTGCGGGCGGGGGCCCCGGCATCCGCCAGGCCGCTCGGCGGGGGGGCGTCCCGAGCTGCCCCGCCGTCCCCGGGCGGCGTCCAGCCCTCCCTGGGTCCGCCCGGCCTCCCGACGGCATCCCTTCCCCAGTGTGCGCTGCCCCCCTGTTTGGAGTTCATTTTTTTTTTTTTACTTGTGCGCCCCATTTCCCAACCCCCCCCCCAAAAAAAAGCAATTAAGTGGCTTCCCAGAGCCTCTTGCCTGGCGAACGCCGAGGGAGGTTAGGTTGTATAACGGAGCCGAATTCCTAGCAGGAAAAAAAAAAAAAAATCACTTCTGGCTTCTTTCTGATCCAGGCGGAACAGAACTCGTGAGGTGGTATCCGAAATGCCCGAGGCTACGTGTAGCGCGTTTGAATCAGCCTGTGGGAAACAGGCCGGCCCACGGGCTTGTTTATTTCCTGGAAGCAGGCGCTAGCGAGCGGGGTGGGGGTCTAGAAGGTGATGGACCGCAGGTTCTTTACCGCCCTGCCCCGAGCGTTTGCCTAGGGCCTGCTAGCCTTCCCCTGTGGTGTGGTGCAAAAAAAAAAAAAAAAAAAAAACGTGCCGGGAAAGGTACGTGCATCGTAAGGTTATCAGGCGGCCTGATCCTAGCCTTAAGTGGCAGTGGGGAAAAAGTGAGAGGGAAGATGGGAAAAGCTGTGGAGACCGTCAGAGTTTAGCTTTGGGAAAAGTCCAGCATGTGAAGGACAGTCTTAACTTTGACCACATGTGGGGTCGGTAAGCAGGTAAATGTCGACTTTCCATGCCAGGCTGCCAGGAGTCAAAGAGCACTGGGGTGAGATTCCCTGATCCTAGACATCCAGGTGGGAAGTGGTTTCTTCCGTACTCTTCCTCTTGCACTTGCCTACTAAAGTAATACAAAATTTGTACACTAACTTTGGTGTGTTAAGCATGCCTTTTTTTCAGTCAACTTTGCTCAAATAAAACCCTATTTACTGATAACCACCTCCTACTGTATTGCTTTAGACACTTGCTGGATCCTTCTCAGAGAATCTTTCAAGAACTTTAATCTGGACCTGGGTTTCTTTTCTGTAAAATGTACACCAGGGCCTTTCAAAAGCTTCTTGAACCGAACCCTTTGACCTTAAAGCATTTTGATTCCAGCAAAGTTACCAAGTTACCTCATACTGATTTTAATACATTACATGTAGTCTGAAGCCCAAAGTCTCTACAGTTTTAGGGTAGTTTGACTAGCTTAAAGTATTTTGAGCCACCTTCTCATTTGTATGTCTCTAGTAAAGTACATATGTCCAGTTAAGCAGAAGTCAAGTGCAAATTTCCAAGAAACTACCACTGCAAAGGTCCACCTTGCTCAAATCTCGTGTCCTCAGCTGGTGTGTTAAGTGAGAATTTTTTGGGTTTTTTTTTGGGGGGGGGGTCAGGCCATGGGGCCTGAACCATGGGCCTAGGCGCTGTCCCTCAGCTCTTCAGCTCAAGGGTAGCCCTCTACCACTTGAGCCACAGCACCACTTCTGGCTTTTTTTTTTTTTTTTTGCTTATGTGGTGCTGAGGAATTGAACCCAGGGCCTCAGGCATGCAAGGCAAGCACTCTATCACTGAGCCACCTTCCTAGCCCCTTTTTGGTGTTTTTGTTGTCCGTTCCCTTCCTCCCCCCATCCTGAGCTCAGGACCTGGGCACTATCCTTGAGCCTCTTTGTGCTTAAGGCTAGCACTTTACCACTTGGGCCACAGTGCTACTTCCAGCTTTTTCTGAATAGTTTATTGGAGGTGAGTCTCAAGGACTTCCTGCCTGGGCTGACTTTGAATTTCAGTATTCAGATCTCAGCCTCTTGAGTGGTTAGGTTTACAGGCTTGAGTCATGGGTGATGGGCTTTAGTGAGGTCTTTCTGCACACTTGAGGGTTTAAAAAAAAACTAACGATTAATCCGACCAGTGTAACTGTGTGTATTTGAGAGGGAGATTTTTTTTTTTTTTTTTGGGTCATGGGGCTTGAACTCAGGGCCTGGGCACTGTCCCCTATTGTTCAAGGCTAGCACTGTACCACTTTGAGCCACAGTGCCACTTCTGGTTTTGTTATGGTTAATTGGAGATAAGAGTCTTTTGGGAACTTTTCAGCCCAGGCTGGTTTTGAACTGCAGTCCTCAATCTCAGCCTCCTGAGTAGCTAGAATTACAGTAGCTGGGATTACAGCCACCAGCACCCAGTTTGTATCGGAAATTATAGATGTTCATGTGCTGTGGATAAATAAATGCATTCTCATGAAACAAATTTATTGCCTACCTTAGCCCACTCATCAAATACTCTGGTTTCACACTGGTATGAAATCACCTACTGTTTCACATCTTTGCCAGTGTTATGTTTTACACATCCACTCTTGTGTAAATATCATGCAAACATTGGACTTACATTGAAATATAACTGAAAACATTTCTGTGATTTCAAATAATTTCTCACACAAGAACCTCAGCAAAATGGGTTGAAGCATGTGGTATAAGATTCTGTTTTGTTGTGTTTCTTTTGTGAATGGAAGGGAATGGTTTTTAATTTTGCAAGTAACATAAAATGACTTGTATGCTGTTGGAAGTGCTTCAAAACCTGACATGATAGTGCATGCCTGTAATCCCAGCACTCATGAGACTGAGACTGGAGGATCTCTAGTTCAAGGCCAATTTGGGCTCCATAACCCACAACCAAAATGGTTTGATTGTCTTGAAAAGATCTCTCCCACACCCCCATTATAGATATCCTCGGGCAATTGATTTGATTATGTTGATGATTTAAGGTTCTGAGTTAAGGCTATGCAGAGAAAAAGTAATGTAGTAAAGAGAGGTAGAAAGCCAACTTTCTCAGGTGAATTCAGTGAGACACGGTCAGGTCAGATGATTTTAAGCAGAACTCTTACCATGAAGAACTGAGATGCCAGCTATTGCTTTTGGGTAAGAGACTGCTTTTTTTGGCTGGGAGGAAAAGGACCCTTCTGTTTCACCTTAATGAGAATACTGTTTGTTGTTGTTGTGTTTTTTGTTTTGTCGGATATTGGGTTTGAACTCTGGGCCTGGGCACTGTCCCTCAGCTCTTCAGCTCAAGGCGAGCACTCTACTTTGAGCCACAGTGCCACTTCCTGTTTTCTGGTGTTTAATTGGAGAGAAGGGGGGGGGGGGAAGGTGGCTCATTGGTAGAATGCTTGCCTCACATGCATGAGGCCCTTGGATTCCTCAGCACCACATAAGCAGAAAAAAGCCAGAAGTGGCCCTGTGGCTCAAGTGGTAGGGCACTAGTCTTGAGTTGAAGAGCTGAGGGACAGCAATTACTTGAACTGCCTTAAAATGAGCTTATGTAACATTTCAATAGTACTATGAACACTTTGTTTATAAGAGTATTTACTTAAGAGGAAAAACAGTGGCATTTTTTTTTGGGGGGGGGGTCTGGTCATGGGCCTGAACTCTAGGCCTGGGCGCTGTCCCTCAGCTCTTCAGCTCAAGGCTAGCACTCTACCATTTGAGCCACAGGGCCACTTCCGGTTTTTTTTTTTCTGCTTATGTGGTGCTGAGGAATCAAACCCAGGGCCTCATGCATGCAAGGCAAGCGCTCTACCACTGAGCCACCTTCCCAGCCCCACAGTGGCATTTTTTACTTAAACACTAGATTCAAATTACTTTAGGTTTTAGTAAATACGATGGTGATAGCTAAAATCAAAATTTTCCTATGCTTTGCCAGTTCTAAAGATTCTGCTTAATTTGGCTGTGTGTTGCTAGGGATTAAACCCAAAGCCTCAC